GAGTTGTTGCTACGATTGCTACAATCAATCAACCATCTGCCATTTCAATTCACAATTTCAAAAGTGCCAACTGTCAACAGCCAAACGTCGTAGTCGACGAGTGTCTCGGACCAGGAAGAAGTCATGGGTGTCGGCCATATATTTACTTATGATATATCAATCATAGCTGTCCTCGAACCGGGACCAACTTCTGTCTCTATAGGACGCTATAGGTAACGAAAGTGGCGTTGATGCCGACGTAGGGAAAAAAAGAAGAAAATTGTCAAACCAGTATGGCTGTTTCCATACTTCAATATCCGTCCTTATAGATTCAAAAAGTACCTCTCATTTTGGTCCCATTTCTGTTGAGATATCGTACAGGCGATAGGCCATATATAGAAATAGTACATATATGGTGTCGGCCCACCGACATACACTTCAGATAATCTAGACCGCTAATTCCATAAAAATAATGTTACAGGTGAGCCACTCACGAGATCAAAATATGGTGAAGATGCATTCTGTCATATATCTTATTCACTCGTGCTTATGTTTCGGAACAACAAGAAACATTACTCTCTGTCATGAATGACAGTCTGATTCTGGGGTTCATGCGTACTGAGCAGAAGCGTTTTCAGGGAAGCAATTTATCCGAGATTTCCGGGTTGTCTAGATAGAATGTATTTCAATGTATGCCATTGTGTCGGCCTTACTCTCTAATAGCACTTAAGTAATGGCAGTATATGAAGAAGCGGAGGGGATTATACATTGAGGATAGTATCATTGAATGTGGTTGATGGGGATTTATTGGTTCAATGATATTTTCGTTCATAATCGGACTCTATTTGAGAAATTTTCAATGCATAAATATCAAAACTAATACATTGATAACTTGTCAGAATGAAGCCAACTACACTCTACAGTACTACTTCGAGACGCCGATTCGTAGTTGTCGTCTTCTTCGTAAAGTAAAAGTATTCACAAAACAAGAAATTCAAAGCTGACAGCTTCCCTGACGACCCTAACCTATCATAACAACAACATAACCTTATTAATTTGTGACATGCTGACTGACCCCCAAGAAAAATGTAAACAAGGTATTTATAATTTCATTTTTCAAGTATTATCTTTAATTATAGACTACTGATAATAATTTGGTAATAGTGTTCCATTGAATTTTTCTGTGCTTTATCTTACAACCAGCATGGACTCTTCAATTTGTGAACGACAATTTGTCAAGGTTATATTTAATAAGCATGTTTTTATCACGATATTCTTCTATTAGACTGTTATCGAGCGTCATAATACAATCAAACATGAGCTCTTTGCAACGAAATTATAAGGTAATATAAGTATATTTCCGTAATTCACCCTTTTGGTTATTAACAAATTGATTCATGTAGGATGCTATTGAGGCTTTGAATGGATTGCAGACAAACGCTCAGTACATCAAAAATGCGGCTGCTAAACCTAAAGCTGCTACAAATATCCCAGAAGTGACTAAATTTCTGAATAGGTGATGTAAAGCTTTATATACTACAAATTTTGTATTGGGTGAAATATTTGTGTTAGCTCACACTGTTTTGTACAGATCAGGCATATCTCTGGAACACCTAGACAAGCTTTCTGTTATCCATATCACTGGAACCAATGGGAAAGGTACCACTTGTGCCTATTGTGAAAGAATCCTTCGTGATCATGGATACAAAACAGGGTTTTATTCTTCCCCTCATCTCCTAGATGTTCGAGAAAGGATCAGGATCAATGGAAAACCTATTTCCAAAAAGGATTTTGCACAGTATTTCTGGAGAATGTTTGACCTCTTAGACAAACACAAGGTTTGATGATACTGAGAGTTTTTTTGAAGGAATTTCAATTCCATTAATCTATTCACATGTTTTTCTACAGTACCTCACTCTGTCATATCATTCATAAAGGTTGTCTACTAATAAATGAAATTCCCCAGGAAATTCACTATAAAAAAAATCTTATCATTGGCTTATATACATGCATCTTATTATTTTCAAACTGGGCAAATTCAAGTGGTCTAAGCAGATGTTTCCAATTTGATGGTTATATGTAAATAATTATTCACCAGTGGTTAATTGAACTATTTTTCAGATTCTTTCTGTTTCATAACTTTCCCTACTATATTCAAATCATTAGTTCAATAAACACTTATTAACATTTATCTGTTTACTCAAAGTGAAATCCCAATAAGGGGTAAACCATGGTCAAATCAAAGTTGTGTAAACCAAACTTCAATTTCACAAGAAATTCCCAGGAATTCCAATGAATCTCAAGGAATTTCAAGGAATTTCAAGGAATTTCAAGGAATTTCAAGGAATGTCAAGGAATTTCAAGGAATTCTGAGAAATTTCAAGGAATTCTGAGGAATTTCAAGGAATTTCAGTCGTTTGTACACCAGAATTATACCGCATTTCACCAAAAGAATTCCGAGGAAATCCAAGGAATTTCATGGAAATCCAAGTAATTCCAAGGAAATTCAAGGAATTTCAAGGAATTCTAGTTCTTAGTACACCAGAATCATTATACTGCAATTCACACAAGGAATTCCGAGAAGATCCAAAGAATTCCAGGGAATTCCAAGGAAATCCAAGGAATTAAAAGGAAATCCTGGAATTCCAAGAAAATCCAAGGAATTTCAAGGAAATCCAAGGAATTTTAAGAAAATCCAAGGAAAACCAGGGAATTCCAGTTGTTTGTACACTAGAATTATACCGCACTTCACTCAAATAATTCCATGGAAATCCAAGGAATTCCAAGGAAATCCAGTTGTTTGTACACCAGAATTATACCGCACTTCACACAAGGAATTCCAAGAAACTCCAAAGAATTCCAGGAAATTCCAAGGAAATTCAAGAAATTACAAGGAAATCCAAGGAATTCCGAGGAATTTCAAGGAAATCCAAGGAAACCCAAGGAAATCCAAAGAATTCCGCAAGGAAATCCGCGGAAATCCAAGGAATTTGAGAAGGAATTCCAAGGAATTCCAGGAAATTCCAAGGAATTCTTGTTGCTTGTACACCAGAATTCCACCGCGTGAAATCCAAAAAAAATTGAGAAATACCTAATATTTTCTAAAGGTTAATTGGCATCATTCTATCCTTATTTTTTCTTTATTTTAGAGGGATCCAAATGATATGCCTCTATATTTTCGATTTCTCACTATTCTAGCATTCAATATATTTCTAGACCAAAAGGTTGATGTGGCTATAATTGAAGTAGGCATCGGGGGTGAATATGATTGCACAAATGTTCTGAGGTAAATATCCAGATTTTTGGACATATTCTGATATCTAAAAATCATTTCTCTTAATAAACTATAATACTTGAGTCAAGTACATGTGTCAATTGTTGGGAACCACAAATTTTAGAAAAACCAAGGTTGTGGGTATCACCCCTTTGGATTTGGACCATACTTCCCTTCTGGGAAACACTTTAGAATCCATTGCATGGAATAAAAGCGGCATTATGAAAGAAGGATGCATTGCCCTGTCAGCCTGTCAGCCTGAGAGTGTTTTGCAAGTTTTTCGGGAACGCAGTAAAGAACGAAAAGTAGCCGATATTGTATATAGATTATTTGCTGAGTCGGACTAATTCGTATTTTTTTCAGTGCACGTTTCAAGTGGTTGAAAAAGATTCCTTTGTAGAAAATAATTCGAATTTTCCTAGCCATATTCAGAGTACTAATGCCAGTTTGGCTTTGGCTTTAAGTGAGGCCTATATAAATCAAGGTAGACAGTGTTATTCTCAACTCCAGATTTATATTTTTCACTTCAAAAATGAACATTTACATGAAGGATCAACTTTTATAGAAGTACATAACACTAAATGTTCTTTAATATTACGTTCTCTATTTTTTTCTTCAGATAATAACAACTCGAAACCTTTTTCCCTGGATTTAGCAAAAAAGTCGATAGAACAACAACACTGGCCCGGAAGATATGAAATCAAACGCATTGAAAATCTATCGTAATAATTTATCTCTCGTTCTCCATCAAACAACCCATAATTTCCCCATATTTTAGGTTTTTTTTGGATGGTGCCCATACTCTCGAAAGTATCCGCGTATGCAGAGATTGGTTCCTCTCTCATACCCGAAAACGCCCCTCTAAACGCACCCTTATATTCAATCTAACAGGAGACAGAGACCCTGACATATTCTTCAAAGAATTGGCTAGCTGTCACTTTCAATCTGTGATATTCACACCGAATGTAGGGACAAGCAATGACAGGGCAGGTAATTTTCATTCCCGAGACAGTTTTCCTCGATGGATATTTGCCATTTTTCAGATATAATAGACTTCATTCTGCCAGAAGACAAGCAGTTAATGAGGTGCTTGGATTACAAAAGAAAATGGGTTGATATGGAAGCGTCATCTACCGATAAAGTTGAAACTGTACACGTGGCGAGGACATTTTCGGAAGCAGTGGAATCTCTCAAAGACGGTAGCGAACGGGACATTTTAGTCACTGGTTCAATCCACCTGATTGGGGCTGCGATGTCAGTTTTAGATCCTACCCTCGATGGGGCTCTGAGTGATTAGAATGTGATATATCAACAAAGATAAAATACATCAAAATATATTTTCATGCTCTGTGTATTTTATCAATGAACAGATTGCTTGGTAAACTGAGTAACTTCCTAAGCAAACTGACCGGCTTGCTTGGTAAATAGTCCATGTTGTCAGGCAAATTGACTAGATTGATGAATTAACCTGACATATTAAACTGAATAGCTTGTAAGATAGTTTGAGTAAACGGCTTGTCTGATAAATTGAACAGGCTGCTAGGTAAACTAACCAGTTTGTTGCGTTGACTGACGAGCTTGGTTGTTGAAATGACCACTTTTTCACTTGCTTCATGAACTGACTTGAAATTGAACAGGTTGACAAGCAGTTGATAAGGTGCTTGAATGACAAAGGAAAATGGGTTTAAATGGAAGCGTCATCTACCGATAAAGTTGAAACTGTCCACGTGGCGAGGACATTTTCTGAAGCAGTGGAATCTCTCAAAGACGGTAGCGAACGGGACATTTTAGTCACTGGTTCAATCCACCTGATTGGGGCTGCGATGTCAGTTTTAGATCCTACCCTCGATGGGGCTCTGAGTGATTAGAATGTGATATATCAACAAAAATAAAATACATCAAAATATATTTTCATGCTCTGTGTATTTTATCAATAAACAGCCCAGCTTGCTAGATGAACTAACCAGATTGCTTGGTGAACTGACTAACTTTCTAAGCAAACTGACCGGTTTGCTTGGTAAATAGTCCATGTTGTCGGGTAAATTGACTAGATTGGTGAATTAACCTGACAAATTGAACTGAATAGCTTATTGTGAGATAGTTTGAGTAACCGGCTTGTCTGATAAATTGAACAGGCTGCTAGGTAAACTGACCAGTTTGTTGCGTAGACTGTATTGTCATTTTTTGGTAATGATTTCGTACCTTAATAAAACGGAAAGTTGCCGATTATATCTTGCAACAGCGCCAAATACTTGGAGTTCGTCCACACCACTCAAAATACTGACAGGCACAACAAGAGGAAGGAGCCATGGGTGTCGGCTTCATTCTGTTCTGACCGATGGCAGTAAATTAGGAAGGATACTATCATTGAATGTAGCGGATAGTGATTCATTGATTCAATGATATTTTAGTTTAGCGTCCAGCTCTATTCGAGATATTTCAATGCATAAATAACCTGTCAGAATGAAGCCAACTATCCTCTGCATTCCTGCTCCGAGTGCATTTGTGGTTATTTATGTTTTTGTTTTCCAGGTTTACTTCAATTTTTTTCATTCGTTTTTCATTCGTTAGTTATTCGCTAGCTATATTCTTCACCATCAGCTATTTTCAGCCTAGATTCAGAATGTACGTTTGCTGCCCCGAAAATTAGAAATATTCCTAAAGGACTTGGACTTTATTGGTCGCCATTCTGTACACCGTGGACATAAAACTGGAAAGTTCGGAGCTTATTTTATAAAAATTCATCTGAAGGAAACTTCCCTATTGCTAGGTAAACTGACCCACGTAAGATGCACTGTTTGGCCTACTAAACAAGCAGATTGAATTATTGAATAAACATACTCATGCCTTTCAGATACGAATATTTTATTTATGAAATGTTTGTGCAAATTCTAATAAGATAATCTTTATTTATGTGTTATTGTGTTACAATAATACTCAATTGCTTCGTGGGATCTACTAACGATCCAATTTTTGACATTGCTAAATGTATTAATTTTACTGTGGAGCAATAGCATGGCACTGGATGGAAGTAGAAGAGTTAAACACACAAAAATTTAGTTTCTTTCATAATTATTTTCATCAAAGTTTACTCTGTTTGTATTGAATGTTCACTCTCATCTTGAAATTCATTAATGAGTATGTATAGGTACCAACTTGTTCTTGTGTAGTGATTTCATGAGTAGGTATAAGGTATCCAATATGATATTTGATTCAATGGGTAATTCCAGATTAGTGTATACTATGCACTTTTGGAACCTAAACACTCTTCGATATCAGTTTCGTATCCAAGTGATTGGTAACAATTGATGTGATGATGTGATTCATTAATTTATATTGTTGTGGGAGAATACCCAGCGAGCACAAACATCCCTGGGATGTTTTGAAAATGTTGGCATGAAGATTATATTTTGAGACGTAATATGCACTGACCAAAGATAGGTCTTTGAAGGATATTGAAGTATTGTTTTTGTTCTTCTGTGGCATTTCTTTGTTTGCCTACTGAGAGCAGGTATCCCTGGGATGTTTTGGGATGTTTTAGAAAAGTAGGCATGAGGATGTTTTTTTGAGGCGTAATATGCACTTCCCAAAGAGGTCTTAGAAGGATATTGAAAGTATTGTTTTTGTTCTTTTGTGCCCTTTCTTTGTTTGCCCCACCACAACGTCTCATGCTTACGTCACAATACGATGAATTCTGATTTGTTTTCGATTTTGTTCTTCTTGTTCGCAATTGGCATTCGCGTTTGCAGCGTGTCACGCTTACATCACGCTGCTAACGAACAGAAAGGAATTTGGTGAAGTTTATTGTGTTAGGAGACTTATTTAGTTTGTAATAATGACCATCAGATGCAAGATGTGTTGTTCGGTGCCTCAGTGTAATCAATGTATAAAAGTACGAATTCATCAATACACAGCTCCTCCGCAGTTGCAAAATTATGCATTGTGGAGAACATTTCAAAAATTGGGAAACCTATTTCCAATTATATATGTCTGTGTGTAGTAAGCACTACTCAGAAACCGATTAAGAAGGTAATTTCATATCAAGAAAATATTTTTATGTTCAATCTATTTTTAATGCATTTTTTCATTCAAGGGAAATGGAATCCTAATGCAAAAGTTCATTTTGACAAAAGGCTTCAGAAAAGTACCTCGAAAATGGTTTTTTTACAGCGATTTAATGTGCGCAAGACGCGTTGAAAATGTTCTGTTGTGTCCATGAAAAGGCTTCAAAAAGAACTAGGGAGAAGGTAGTTTTGTGACATATCAAGGACATCTCGATAATTGCCGCCTGCGGCAGACATTGGCTGTTCTATAATAGTTCTATTCATGTGTGAACAGAACATCGCAGTGGAGGTTCAATGTCTCGAAATCTCGTACTTTTAACATCTCTGAGATGTTTTTGTGCTCGCTGGGTAGTTATCTGTGTGTGTGTGCATATCTCGTCTCTTAAATTCTCCATTTAGGTCGTGGTGTTTCGATTTTTTTCCTTCTGAGAGAACCACTTCTGGAGAATGTCCCAGAAGTGTAGGTCAGCTCCTCCTCTTGTACCGTGTTCAAAATCCTAGCGGTCGCCAGTTTCGGTGGAGGCGCTTCTTTCACTTTTTCTTCCTTAATTCGAACTCTCTTTTTCTGTAAGAACCAAGCATTACATTCCAAAATCCGAAAGTAGCTTTCAGAATATGCAATTTCAACATTTTGTGAGGCTGAATCAGCTACAATGTCATCAAAGCTATCATTCATGGTTAACTACTTGAGGTTAACTGACTAGCATCAGAGATAACAGAAGATGGTGTTGAAACTACTATCAAATCCCATCTACTAACTGTTTTTCGATCAAAGTTCTGGACCTACGGCCTACTTGACAGAAGAATTCTTCTCAATATCGCGGAGTATAGGTCGCAATCTATCCGTTAGATGGCGAAATCTCAACCAAAATTCAATGTTGGTAGAACTGATGATGATTAAAATCCCCAAAATTACAGTTTCGTACTTTCAAATTCAATTTCATTTGATTTGAGATTATGTTATGAATGTTATGATATTACTATTTCTGGTGCAAGTGGTGTGTATGCGCCGTATTATGTTTTCTGTTATGAAGGAAATCTGTAAAGTGTCGCCATCTTGCGGACAACTGAGAACTAATATGCCACTATCGCGGAATCTGCGGTCGTTGTCTGTGATTACACCATATTCTATCCACCTTGATGCTAGGCAAACTGACCAGTTTACGAGGTAATAACTTGACCAGCTTGCTCAGTAAAATGACTAGCTTGATAGGAAATCTCGATAGTTTGCCATTGTGTTGTTCTCCATGACGTTCCTGATGCCAAAGTTACAACCATGTTACAACACACAACTTTGCTTTTTCTTATGTGCGCCATATTGGATTTTTACATTTTTGAAAACCCAGTTCATTGTTGGAAACTCTTCTTTTTTTCTGATTACAATGATGTATCTCACGATATGATCGAAATAGGGAAAAACCAATTTTTGCGAAGAGTGCTTTGGAAAGAACGCTAACAGTTTAGTTTAACAAGCTGAATTTCGACAGTTTATTTGAATATGGATCTGTCACGTTCACATTCTCGTAAAGCTCATCTACTTAATTAAAAACATTGATGGAAGTAAGATATGGTGTAATCACCGATGCGCTTTTGTTTCAGAAAATTTACTTCACCTCTCGAGAACAGTGAGAGCATTGGTTCCGTCGATCTTCTTATAGATGGCGACATTGCACAATTATGATATCATCTGTCAGTTTTGAAATTGTCGCTGATTTTTCGAATTCAGAGTTGAATAATCTCACTGTTACATATGGGTCGCGTACCTAAAATGCCATTTGCCATTTTATTTTCACTCGTCACAACAGCAATAGCAGCATTTACCATCTAGCGGGAAAATGTAGAATCAACGTCTCGCTCGTTGTGACGTAGAGAAATCATAGTAGGCGGTCGAGTGATTTTTCTGAAATTTTCAATACGTAATAATGGCCGAATGCACGCACCATATCTTACTTCCATCATTTTGAAAACTATGGTTTTGAATTAGGAACGACGTAATAAGCTAGAAGTTTACTCTTCGCAAAACAAAACAAAGTCTAAACACAATTCTACGCGTTTGCTCAGATTCTGAATTGCTCGCGAAGATGTCCCGTCTTCTTATTTTAGTTCTGAAAGTGGTGATTATGGGTCTCCTCAGCTCATCAATATCGATCGGTAAAGTTTTGAAAATCAAATTTTTCATACTTCCCAATAAATAATAATCCAGCGGAGTGAGATCAGGTTTTCAAATGAACTGTCAAAATTCAGTTGATCCTTCCAAAGCACTCTTCGCAAAAATGGTTTTTGCCAATTTTGATCAACAGGAATGATTCGATAATATCGTATGATACATCATTGTAATCAGAAAAAAAAAGACTTTTCAAAAATGCAAAAATCCGATATGGTGTCCATGAGAAAAAACAAATTTGAGTGTTGTAACTTTGGCATTGTCGAAAAGTGCCTTAAGATGGTCCCAGTCAGAAACGTCTAGGTCTTTTGTTTTTCGCTAGAAAAAATAAAAACGAAGATTATAAATTCTCGTTTTCTTCGAATAATTTGAAAACTAAAAATGACACAACGAATTTTCTTGCAGATAAACTTTGCCCTAATTTAACAAACCTCGCGCATCTCTTATAATAACGACTGAGATTCCCATGGCGAAGCTCGAGAAACGGGCACCCTGTATATTCTTCAAAATTGAATCATTTTTTGTATATGTAAGTGTACTAATCGATGCAGACCTCAATGTTTGACAATCCTTCGTAAAATAAGAAATAATATGAATCAAAATACTTACGTGATATGCCTGTTCATCTACTGATGTGTGCATGATTTTTGGTACCTAATGAGTATAATCTCGTGAATGAAGCAACTACAATATTCTGCAACTTTTATTATAATAATCATAACCATTTAAATTATGCTGATATGGTTAAAAAATGTGTTTGGTGATGGTCAAAATACTTGAAAAGAAAAACTGATTTACATCAAAATACAGATAATGGTAATAAAACGAAAAAAAAAAAACGTGTAAACTACAAATACAATAAATAAACTAAAGCAATTGAAGGAATCTTCGATAAGACACATAATCATTGGTTAGATAAAACCAATTGAGTATTTCTGAGTAACTTTCTTCAAATTTTTATTCCAAGGAACAATCACTGGAATGATTATGTGTCCTCAAATTATTAATCTAAAAAATATGAGGTGACTATAAATACAGTACAAATTATTACTTTTCCGTCATTCTGTTTCTCCATTTTAGTAAGTATAAACAATTTTTGATGTCATGAAATGTGAAATATGATTCATATAAAAATGGAGTTCACAGAGACGAAATTTTGGTCATATTAATTAGATGTCACAACACCAAAACTAATCTTGTATTATTCGATTTTGACTTATATTCTATTATTGTAATCGCAATACAATAATAATATTGACACTTCAATATCGCCCATAAAATATCCAGAAAGGTTGCAATATTGAAGTTCGTTTACGTCAATTCAAAGAAATGTTATTCTACAAGTTATACTCCAGTGCAGTTATTTTAGTAAGTATAATCTTATGAATATAGGTATTTTATTGGACATGCAAGATTCATCTTAGGTAGGTAATAAAAGTTATTTCGCAACATCTCTCTCAGTTCTCTCATTTAGAACAATCACGCCTGGATATATACCAAGTACCAAGTTTTTCGAATGTCAAAAATTATTTGGTAGCTACCATCTCAATGTTTCTGGTTCAAATTCTCGTCCTCATTTGGTACCTTTTCTGGCTGAGATGGAAGTGAATTCTAACAAAAGAAAAAGTAATTAATTTTTCGACTTCTCGAGAAAATGAGGAACAAAATTGATAAAACAAAAGGATTAGAAGCACACGAAAAAAAAAATTATTCAATTGGTAGGGTAGAGAGGAAGTTACATTGTTGGGAAAAAATATCAGTGGTGGTCTACACTCAGTTCCAATAAAAGTGACGCACTTGATATTTGACCTATCTTCTTGAAAAAAAAAGACAAAAATAGTGGGCCGATTTTTTTTATTTGTTGGTAGGTATTGCATTGGTCTTTAAAAAAATGAAGAGGTGAACATTTTTTCAAAGCCTCCTCGATGGTGGTGGAATAACTCGAACCATGATTTATTCTTCATTTTTGACTCATTTTCAAATTACATAAAATGCCTCAAATGAATCCTGAACAAGTATCAAGATTATTTGCGTTAGTAAACGATGGGCGTAGTAAACGTTACGCCGCTTGTGCAGTGAGAGTTCATGAAGCAACTGCTCGTAGAGCAATCCGCAAGTACGAACAAACAGGAAGCATCGCTCGGAGGGTCGGTTCTGGTCGCCCCCGAAAAACTTCTCCAAGAGATGATCGCTTCTTGAGATTGCGGATTTTACGGAATCGATCAAATACTGCGGTAAATGTTCAGCAAGATCTTCGCCAAATTCGTGATGTTGCAGTAAGTAAGCAGACGGTATGTAGACGTCTAAAAGAAGTTAATTTAAGAGCTAGGAGACCTGCAAAAAGTCACAAAATATTGCCCGAACATCGTGTTGTTAAAAGAGATTTTGTTAAAATTTATGAACAGTGGAATATTCCTGAATGGTCGAATGTCTTGTTTATGGATGAGTCAAGGTTTTGCCTTAACATGGTGGATGGAAGAAAAAGAGTGTGGAAAAGAACTGGTGAACGGTTTAATAAAAATTTAATAACAGAATGCGAAAGTTTTAATGGTGGGTCCGTTATGGTGTGGGGAGGGATTTCAATGAATGGAAAGACACCTCTTCATGTTTTTCCGGTGAGGCAGTCGATGAATGCCCAAATTCACATTGACATTTTAGAGCAGTATGTCTTACCCTAAGCAGAGTTAGTGGGCAATAATTCTATATTGATGCAGAATAATGCCCGATCACACACCGCAGCAATAGTGCAAAAATTCTTAGAAGCTACTGGTATTACCACATTACAATGGCCTGCGAGAAGCCCCGATATGAATCCTATAGAACATTTGTGGGATGAATTAAGGAGAAGGGACGTTCTCGCGAGAGGTCTCTGGAAACTCTCGCAGAAATGGCAGATGCATTAGTGGAAGAATGGGATCGTATACCAATAGAAACGATAAGCAACTTAATTTCCAGTATGCCTCGTAGATTAGAAGTTCTTAGAGTTGCTAGAGGAGACAATACACGGTATCAAGCAGTCATCCCAATTCATAATTTTGTGTTCAATAAAAATGTTTTTTCAAATTATTGGTATCAGTTTATTTCATTAGAAAATTGTTTCTCGATAAATTCAGAAAGTTGGTAATCTGCAAGGATTCAGCAAAAAAAGCTGTAATTCGGAAAATTTTAGAGATAAATCAATGAATAAAAAAACAAAATGCTCGCAAAAGAAGCTTCTTTCGTATAGGGTGTGAGCACTTTCTATGCCATCACTCAATTAACACACAGGTTGAGTCAAAAATGGAGAATAAATCATGGTTCGAGTTATTCCACCACCATCAAGGAGGCTTTGAAAAAATTGTCACCTCTTAAATTTTTTTCAAGACAAATGCATCACCTCTACCGACAAATGAAAAAAACTACTATTTTTTTTAAGAAGATAGGTCAAATATCAAGTGCGTCACTTTTCTTGGAACTGAGTGTACATCTCTGATTCTACACCAACTCCATAATTAATAGTCCTAGGGTGTTAGATCTGGTGATCTAGTTGGCCACTTTATATAGACCCCCATATCCATATTCCACCCTGTATGTATTCAGCGAAAGTGTTCAAGATTCAGAGTGACTATCTAAATAAATCACCTGAAAATTCACGTGCTGTGTTCGAATTAGGTTAAGTTTAATCAATACCATGCTCTAGAAAACATGCAACTGGAATACTCTGCTTCACAAAAAAAATACAAAGGATTAAAAGGATGATTTAGAAAGTTGCCATAAACAATAATATTAAGACTATTACTGGAATATAGCAGTTTTTATATGTTTTACAGGGGTTATTGTTAAAAACTATGACTTGGATTTAATGGGGAAAATCACATAAAATATATTGGTCACGCAAAAACGAACGCTATAGCACCAGATCTCGATAAACCTTGGAAAAATTTTGCCTTGGAATTCTGATGGTGAATTTATCAGTAAAAAGTATACACATAACCTGGCTCCTGCAAAATCAAGATTTTTTTAGTTTTGGTGGTTCCAATTTTCCGAGAATCTGGATTATTAAATACTTTCATAACTTCATTTTCGAGGATATCAGGAAATCAATAGTAAGAAAAAATCTTGGGAACTATCGATGCAGTGTGATCTTTTTAAATATGCTGTCTGTCATATAGAGATTGAAACAATACAAATTCATTTGTACAAAAAAAACACGGAGTTTTTTCTCGATTGCTCACAGTTCCATTATATTATATTATTGAAAAGATATATAAATGATGACAAAAAAATTGTATATATACAAAGAAATACATTGAGAATTCGCATTCTCCATGTGATGAAAATATTAATTCTTTCTCGATTTATTCATCAGAAAATATTATATTATGTTTAGTACATTTTTCTGCAAAATCCATTTTTCTCCTACTTCTGTCAGAATAATGAGCTTTGGAATAAGGAAGGTTTGGAATATAATACCGGGTCTTCAACAATGATTGAACACCATGTGAGCAAAATGTGTTTGCAAACCAAAATGAATAACTGGAAATTAACAGCTGCTATCAAAATAAAACATAGGGGTATGGTATATTTGCATTTGGAAATGCATCATGAAATTGTTCCCGGCAGCTTTGAAGTGAATATATGTCCACGTTCTATCAGGAGGTAAAACTGCATTTATCATGCGATGCTTTTTTTTCGACAATTTTGTTTGGTACTTACGTATTTTTGACTGAAAAACATAAATTTGATGATGAAAATGTGAACAAACCACTATTTATCGAGATATTTCAAGAAATAGTTCGAAATTTCGCCTTCTTTTTCCCTTTATGTTGGATGCATTTATAGCTACTGATGTACAGGGCTAGTTTTATTAAATGTGAACCTCCCTTCATCTTCTTTGTTTTCTATCCATTCAAGAAGATTCAAAACTGATATTTTCACGATATTCCATATCGGTTTCAATCATATTGAGAGAGTGTTGCAATATCTCTTCAAATATACAGGGTAAACAGAAATATATTGATTTTTTTTATGGAATGCGCTGTATATTTTCATAGATGAAGATCCTTCTATATACATGTTTGGAGACAGGACGATTTAGGGAATTCAAATTTATTGAAATATACAGGGCATTTGAAAAATGTGTTAATTTCTATGTACCCTGTATATTTGAGCAAATATTGCATCATTGTCAAAATGAGCGAAATCTGTGCGAAAAATTGTATAAAATCAGTTTTGAAATTTTTTGAATGGGTGGAAAACAAAAAAGATAGTGGGGGGTTCACATCAATAAAACTAGCCCTGTACATGATGTACTTCAATGATACATTTTTATATATAAAAATTAAACAGGAAATATGATTTTTATGGCGAGTTTTTTATATTTACTGAACAAGCATACCAGATGACGACCATTTAATCACACTTTTAATCAATAGTCGATCCAAATACGAGATGCCAACAGATTGCTTTTGAATGACATTACACACGCCATTATTTTAAATGATATTCTTCCTTCTTTTCATTAAATATGGATAAATCACAAGAAAATCATATTTCTAGTTGACTGATATAATTTAAAAAAATGTGTCATACATTGTGTTATATATAAATTGTCCAACGATGAAAAAAGAAGGGCAAATTGTTCAAAATGCGATTCAGAAGACAGGCGGAAAAGAAGATGAAATTTGTAACTCAATAGTGAAATATCTTAATAAACAATGGTTTGTTCAAATTTTCGAAAAAAAAAACATCGCATGATAAATGCAGTTTTTCCCATCAGGATTACGAGTCGTACCACTTCTGAAATGGGCCATCAGTAAGAAGGCATATATTCCACCCGAAAAAAAAAAAACATTTTTTATCCTGAAAGGAAAACAATGACATATGAACAATAAAAACAAGAGATTGGAGATGTAGTTTTGATAAAAACTGTTTTCGTGAGTGAAATAATCGAATGCAAGGACGATAAAATAAAATCAAGAACCATATAATATAAGCTATCAACAAACCCAGGAAGAAAGACAACAAAGCGCTACTGGGTGCTAATGAGCTACAGCTCATACAGCTGTGCAGTATAAATTTCGAAAACACAAAACTAACGAGACAGATTCGCAAATCAACTTTCCTTTTCCAACAGCCATGAATAATCGGAGGTGGGAATATGACATAATATATGATCATATTACCTGAGTTAACATGATGACAAAAAACAAAAATGTATTGTTGGTTGCATACGAATATGGTCACGTGGTGTTTAATCATTGTTGAAGACCCGGTAGTATAGTCGAATCTACGTCATGTCAAATTTTCAATTGACTCACTTGCGATCCAGACAAAGAGTGGTCCAAACTAGAGACAAGAGATGTCTGTTTCAGATATTCTTTGTCGTCAAAAATTTTTTTGTCTCCTCCACCAGGCTTATGTTTGACGTTGTCCAAAGAACCCACTTTGCTGGTTACTTTCAGTTCTATCTTCTTGGTTTCGATCTAGAATATCATCGAATGCCTCAGTGGTTTGGATTTATATAGCCATTTCGTCATTTTTATATAAACTATGAACAGCTAGGTACACAATAGAATAAGGAAAACCTGCTATAGAAGTGTTTTCAAGTGCTGTGTGAATCTACATTCATACATTTGGTGAAATTCACACGTTTACATTTACGTGTTTAGGTGACAAATTACAAATATACTAGTGTTCAACAAGTGTTCAATGACATATAGGTTTGTTTTCGCATTTTCATTTTACTCACAACTCGACTGACACTGGGGATATTTCCTTTTTCAGTATCAGTATCTTTCTCCTCCAGCATATCTTCGGTCTAAGCAGTAGAAATCACCAAGAAAACGATAGTAAAATATACCTTATTGCACCGTATGTGGCAAAGATAAAACATGAATGAAAAGGTAGTAGCGAGTTCAGACCGGTTCTGAACCTTTTCAAGGACAAATAGATGTGACCATTGCAAATATACTAGTGTTCATCAAGTGTTCAATGACACATAGGTTTGTTTTCGCATTGTCATTTCACTCGCAACTCTACTCCCAGCGAGCACAAACATCCCTGGGATGTTTTGGGATGTTTTGAAAATGTTGGCATGAAGATGTTATTTTGAGACGTAATATGCACTGACCAAAGAGGTCTTTGAAGGATATTGAAGTATTGTTTTTGTTCTTCTGTGGCATTTCTTTGTTTGCCTACTGAGAGCAGGTATCCCTGGGATGTTTTGGGATGTTTTAGAAAAGTAGGCATGAGGATGTTTTTTTGATGCGTAATATGCACTTCCCAAAGAGGTCTTAGAAGGATATTGAAAGTATTGTTTTTGTTCTTTTGTGCCCTTTCTTTGTTTGCCCCACCACAACGTCTCATGCTTACGTCACAATACGATGAATTCTCATTTGTTTTCGATTTTGTTCTTCTTGTTCGCAATTGGCATTCGCGTTTGCAGCGTGTCACGCTTACATCACGCTGCTAACGAACAGAAAGGAATTTGGTGAAGTTTATTGTGTTAGAAGACTTATTTAGTTTGTAATAATGACCATCAGATGCAAGATGTGTTGTTCGGTGCCTCAGTGTAATCAATATATAAAGGTACGAATTCATCAATACACATCAGCTTCTCCGCAGTTGCAAAATTATGCATTGTGGAGAACATTTCAAAAATTGGGAAACCTATTTCCAATTATATGTCTGTGTGTAGTAAGCACTACTCAGGAACTGATTAAGAAGGAAATTTCATATCAAGAAAATATTTTTATGTTCAATCTATTTTTAATGCATTTTTTTATTCAAGGGAAATGGAATCCTAATGCAAAAGTTCATTTTGACAAAAGGCTCCAGAAAAGTACCTCGAAAATGTTTTTTTACAGCGATTTAATGTGCGCAAGACGCGTTGAAAATGTTCTGTTGTGTCCATGAAAAGGCTTCAAAAAGAACTAGGGAGAAGGTAGTTTTGTGACATATCAAGGACATCTCGATAATTGCCGCCTGCGGCGGACATTGGCTGTTCTATAATAGTTCTATTCATGTGTGGACAGAACATCGCAGTGGAGGTTCAATGTCTCGAAATCTCGTACTTTCAACATCTCTGAGATGTTTTTGTGCTCGCTGGGCTGACACTGGGAATGTTTTCTTCTTCAGTATCAGTATCTTTATCCTCCAGCATATCTTCGATCTGAGCAGTAGAAATCATCAAGAAAACGATAGTAAAATATAGGTAGCTTATTGCACCGTATGTGTTAAAGATGAAACATGAATGAAAAGGTAGTAGTGAGTTTAGACCGGTTCTGAACCTTTTCAAGGACAAATAGGTGTGACCATGATAAAGACATTGGTGGAAGAGTGACTCAACCTGACATGAAACAACAATGAACTCGATTATGGTATGAATCATAAATGAATTTCATTGACAATGATTGGTTGTACACACATTCGTTTTCACTTGAAGTCGAATATATTTTTCCGAGATGTATAGGTACAGGATGTCTTACCTTGACGTCTCCACCACCTGGTATATGATTCATGTTGGCTTTAGATCCCACCTTTGATTGGGCCTTCTCTTTGAAATCCAATTTTTTCGATTCGATTTTTTTGTCTCCGCCCTTAGGTTTGTGAGTTGCATTTTCCAAAGAACCTATTTTTGATTTCGCGCTCCATTGCAATTTTTGTTGTACTATCTAGGTGCAAAAATTACTGGTAAATTTACTGTGCTGCTACTTCTCAATTAATTGAAGACACGTCAAAAAATATACCAAACATGTTTGGTTACATTTAATTATAGTTTCTAATTGTCAAATCTCTAAACAGTGTTCCTAATAATGAAGTTGAAAAGAATGAAAACACATTCTTGTGTTGAATAATTGATATTTACAAACACAGTGGAAGGAGAAACTGTCGACTCACTTTTTTATCGCCTCCCTTGGGGACATATTTGTCGTTTTTGGCTTCTATTCTGGGTCCTGCCCCTTTGAAATCCAATTTTTTGCTCTCTATTTTGACGTGGCCACCACCTGGTTTGTAACTCGCGTTTTCTAAAGATCCAATTTTCGATCTAACCACTTTCAAATTTGGTGAAGGTGCTGATCCGACTTGGACTTTATTCATAGGAACTTCTGAGGAAAAAAAAGAAAGAACAAATGGAATTAGAATGAAAAAAGGAAATTGGTCGCGTTGGGTCTATCAGGACAACGAAACATCCTTATTCATTCATCACACAAATATATAGGATACAGAGATTTCCTATGCATGTGGATACATTTTTCTTTAAATCATTCAGGACATAATTAGCCACCCCCACCTCAGCACAATGTTTTGTGGTTATTTAGTAATTTATGAAAAGTGACATTTCACAACCTGTCAACAGAGATGAAACTTTTTTCCCGTCACAGAAAAAAATATGATTTCAATGTAAATAGTATCCATACATGGAAATATATACCTGGAGAAAGGACAAATTTTTCTAAGATATGTGAAATTGGCTCCTTCAGCAAGTTGACATCAACGAAATAACATAACAAATTATTTACACTAGACTGATGAACTTATTTGCTGTTATGAGTCATAGTTATTAATTCTGATGAGATGAAAAAATTTCAGTGAATTGAAAAATGAGTCAGTATCCTTCTTTTGATTTAGGGTCCCTTGATGTAAACTGACGTATTTGTCATCTTAACAGGGTACGGACAGATCCTCGTCTCCTCTCACTCTAAAGTGTTTGTGAAACAGTTATATAGTTCCATCTTTATTCATTTCTGGGGAAAAACACTAGATTTTTGGCATTTGTTGTTTTTTAGGTTATATTGAGGTCACTGGCGTATCATACGTAATTTCCATATGGAATTCCTGATTCCACTATACCAAAATATAGATGAACAATCCTCTAGTTTTAGAGTTTACTATACTCCAGCATAATTTTTGACAGGTAGCTAAAGGAATTAACATATGAATTTCAGTGAAAGCTCAATATATTTCACCAAAAGAGACTGTTCTTAGACTGTATACAAGGGTTGACTGAATTGACTGAATGAATTCTGATTTCAAACTGAGCGGTAGTTTATCTATGAGCTGAATGAGCTGACCCTTATGATTGAGAAATGGTGGAAACCTCGATGTGAATATCTAAACTACTGTACTCATGTAATGTGTGCTAAATATATTTTCGGAAATCCAACTCGAAGAATTTATGAAGTGACTAATATAAACTATGTATGAAACTTCGTCTAGGACGAAAAGTAGGCTGATAAAAAGTAATACGTAAAATGTGCAGAGAAATAAAGAATAGAATATACTTCACTCCCATGTTAAACATATGATTCTTCCGTCTTCCTCAAATAAAAAGTCATTTTCGAATAATTTATTGATGAAAGTAACAAACAAGTAGGTATACGCAGTATAACTTATAGGCACGTTATTTTCACTCTTGCATCCTACATATTTTCTATTTGTGATAGAGTAGTAATTATATAAACTAATGTCTTTCGCCATATTGGATCCGTCATCTTGGATTTTCTAATTTTGACGAAACAATCATTATCTCTTACCCCGAAAACCCTCAGATATCAATTTTGAATAGAATCGGATCTTCATCACAAAACTTGTTCGCCATATGATCTTCCTCAACAATTAAATATCCTGTACATACCTATTGTTAAAATTTCGAATGATTTTCTGTAGCGCCTATGGATGTGACGTGACAGCAATGTCAGGGATGCCAGTAGACAAAACTAAAGTATCTAGATCATTAAAAAAGAATGCAGCTATGATCTGCCCGTACCCTGATGTTAAGATGACTTTAATGTCAATTTCCATCAAGGGACCCTAGTTTGATTAAAATCATCATCATCACTCAACCAGTAGTTGACATCATCTTCAACCTCATTTAGATATTTCCATTTCATGAATATATGAGAGAAAATCCCAAAAAATCTGGAGAACATCTACCTGGGTTCATACTTTTCACTTCTTATTATTCGTATTTTAATCTGATCATTTCATATCAAACAACTAACTGAGAACATGAGACTAAATGATTCATAAAATAATAATGTGATGGATTTGTAGTTACTCTGGAAGACATCTAATTTCAATTTCAAGGCATTTGACCTTGAATGCCAACAAACATGTTGTCTGAGTTTCTTGACCTCCACTTGCTATGCCCTGAAATAGAGTTGGTATCACTCTGGAAGAAATCTTATTTCCAATCTGAAGGCCTTTGACCTTGAACCTAAAAAAAAATCGCTTTCTCAACCCCCCTACCGGGATTTACTGGTATGATGCCCATGTGTACTATGAATAGGTACTTATATAATTAAACACAATAATTTCATAAAAGTGTTTCGATCTTTCAGACCCTTCGCGACTATTGGAAGGTTAACCACTCACTTTTCCGTTCTGTAATCGATCCTGGAGTGGTAGCATTGGAATCCGGACTCTTCAAGCTAGGCGACTTTGATCCTCTGGATAAAGATCTAGCTACGGGGGTCGAAGTTGATGTTCTAGATTTCGAACTCTTTCGGGGCGATCTGCTCTCGCTATTACTGGACTGATCCTGAAAAAAAAAACACCCGAGTTATGTTCACAGGGTTTCAAAACCCTTTGGAATCTAAATTAAAAGTAGAAGCTCATAGTCATTTTCACAAACAACAGTGCATGGGTGTCCCCAGATGGCATTCATGACTGCCATTTGGGGAGAACCTGACCCAACGTCAACACCTCTCAACATTTATTACCTACGAGGTGTTCGGCCACCAAGGTAAGAAACACTCCAAAACTGAAATTCACTGAATTCCACTGTTGAAAAGAATCATGATTTTGAAAACTGCAGATTTGAGCAAGTAATTGAAACATCTTGTGCAAAACACTCTTGACTGACCATTGAAATATGAATTGAACGCACAAAATCATTACTAAAAACTCAGTCATCATTAACGAATTCCTCATTGTTTGGAGTCAATCTTTGAAGACGTCAATTTTAAATTTCAACCTTCAAAAATAGTAAGATATGAATTAAATGAAAATACTCACATTTCCTTGTGTGGACTCATCGACGCCACTGTCATTGTCTCCTTCTGGAACAAAAAACAGCATTACCCACTATATCTTCATTAATTTATACTCTTTCACGAAGATAAACATGGTCCAGTTGAAACGTAACACTTTTTGACAAAGCTCAAATTCCTATAACTTTTTCTGTTATTTGATTCAACGACATTCAAATGACAATTGCAAAGTTAATGTTGAATGTTCCATAACAGCACGGTGTTGGAACTTTTCTATATACAGGGTGTCCGCTAAAAGGAGGTCAATCCATTAACCATATATTCCTTGAACAAAAACAATATGAGTTTCTAAATACCACTTTTCATTTTAGCCCTTCATATTCGATATACAGAGTGTCAAAGTTGGAAATTAAAAACTGTTTTTTTTTTATTACTCGCGTATTCAATAAGATATTAATCTCAAAATTGGTACATTACTATAGCACAAAGAGTTACATCGTGTGAGGAAAACAAAACAAAAAATAACTGTCAAATATTCAAAATACTGGGGGTCAAGTACACACTTACCCCCATATTTTTTTTGTACGTGCGCTAATGACTTTCTACCTATTTTTCTTCAAGTGTTCAATCATTTTTGAGTATTTTTTATCACGTGTAAAATTTCGCTAAAATCATTTGTTTTTAAGATAATTCGAAAAGTACTGGTTATTGTTTGATGCCTATGCGGCTTACGGTAATAATAATGTTCACATACTCCTATTTATTTCGTCGAAATTGGAAGAGGGCGTAAATTTTTACGTTCGAAAAGGTAAATATGGAAATACAGGGTGCTCAGAGCGAATGTATTGAAATAATTTTTCCAAAAAAAAAATTGATAGAAATTCAACAAGTCTTAATAAATTGCTCAATATGACCTCCAATATTTTGAATACACATGCGAGCCCTTTAAATTAAAGAAAATCTTAGCCTTAAAATATGTGGCTTATACACAAAATCTTTCATAGATCCCCAGACAATCCTGATCTGCTATTTCTTTCATCAAGTAGCTATTAAAATCATGGATATCATAATTTCACCTAAAATTTCCGAAAAAATGTTCTTCACATTTTTTCCGATTTTATTTAAAATTTGCTGTAAAAATTATTTTAATACATTCGCTCTGAGCACCCGGTATTTTCATATTTACCTTTTCGTACGTGAAAAGTTACGCCCTCTTCCAATTTCGACGAAATAAATAGGAGTATGTGAACATTATGAGATTACCGTAAGCCGCATAGGCATCAAACAATAACCAGTACTTTTCGAATTATCTTAAAAACAAATGATTTCATCGAAATTTCACAAGAGACAAAAAATACTCAAAAATTATTGAACACTTGGAGAAAAATAGATAGGAAGTCATTAGCGCACGTACAAAAAAAAAATGGGGGTAAGTGTTTACTTGACCCCCAGTATTTTGAATATTTGACAGTTATTTTCTGTATTGTTTTCCTTACACGATGTAACTCTTTGTGATGAAGTAATGTACCAATTTTGAGATTAATACCTCATTAAATACGCGAGTAATTAAAAAAAAACAGTTTTTCATTTCCAAGTTTGACACCCTGTATATCGAATATGAAGGGCTAAAATGAAAAATGGTATTTAGAAACTCATATTGTTTTCGTTCAAGGAATATATGGTTAATGGATTGACCTCCTTTTAGCGGACACCCTGTATATATATATAGAATTACGAGATGAGTGGTGTGTTCTTTCCCCGGAAATAAAAGGTAATCTTCCAGCGGGATTTTACGAAGAGTCTTGAACGACACACGTCCAATACGCAAATAAGGGATTCAGTTGTTATTATTTGTCGACACCATCCGTGATTTGTTACATATCAACCTTGTAACGTATGTTTAAATCATAAAAAAAACGTATCTTGAAAAATATTAGGAAATGGATTCCGGTAAAAGCATCACTTCGCCACAGAGAGTCAACTGCACCAAAAGGTTATTTTTTCTGTGAAGTATTAGCTTCAACATTCTTGGATAGAATCATTAAAAAAACATGCAGATACAAAAAGTCAGAGTCATGCACAACTCTTTCTGAGAAAAATCAATTTTGTCAACTGTATTATTTCGTTCTGTTTTATATTCACAATCAGTAGAATGCCGATAAACAAGATGAAAAAGCTATTGGAGTTCGTTTCGCAAGGTGCTCCGTTTCAAACGACCCAAAAGCAATAGTAACCTGATCTAGCCGGGGATTTCGCTTTGGGGGGCTTCCCCAAATCCAAGAATTTCCCAACCTTGCTACCCCCCTCCGCAGTGCCATTCTCCACCGGCTTCTCCACCAAAACCTTGCCATTAGTCGTACTACTATCCGACGTCTTACTCAAAGTAGGCTGCGACTTTGAGACGCTCTCGATTTGGCTAAAATTGCTCAACTCGTTACTCTTCGGAGACACGTCTGTGAGCGAGTTGGACTTATCCTCGTCTTCTTCGATTTTGTTCATCCGCGAAGCCGACCTTGACTCTGGTCTAGACGGCAACTCGCTCTCAGGCTTTTTGTCTAGACTCTCAGTAGAACCAGTTATCGAACTCTGCCTGGAAACAGGCCTAGAGCTAGGTCTTTCTCCTCCCATACTGTCCAAGCTGCTAACAGACCTCCTCCTAGCTTCTTCTCTGCCATCAGCAGCCTGTTCCGGAGCGTTAGAAGAAAGACTATAGCTCCTGTTGTTCATAGCAGCTATGGAGGGCGCTTTAACATAGTCATTAGCATTCTTGTTATCATCCGGAAGCTTAGTTGACCTTTCCACGTTCGAGAAATCCAGCGCTGGGCTTCTATTCACCTCTTCTAGAACTTGTGGGCGTGGTCCGTTGAAATTCTGGGAGGGGCGCTGCTGGAACACGCCCGGCGGCCGCTGATTGGCCACCTGCGGCCTGGGGAACGGAGTGGGAGGCCTGAAGCTAGCGCGCGGTTGATAAGCGGCGAACGGTTGGCCCGGCACGCCTTGTGGGCGTGGTCCGGGGGGCGGAGCGGGCCTCTGAGCGAACGGGGGCGTGCCTGGTGGGACGGGCGGTCGTGTTTGATTTGGCGGAGGTCGGTTGGGCGGTCCTGGTTGGTTTGGGAATGGCGGGCGGAAAGGGAAGTTGGTTCTGCTGTCCGTTCGGTTCAGGAGGGGGCGTTGAGCGTTTGTGGGCGGTCCTGGTGAGGTGGGCGGAGGGCTGGAGATGGTCTCGTACTGCTGCAGCTTCGGCTAGCCGATGGACAATGGGGTTTGTTAGAAATGTCTCAAGTGGAGGTGCTAGAGAATAATGTTTTCACGCGAAACTAGAAGATCTGAGAAATCTTGATTCATTTTCTCTGTTCATAAAACATTGAGTCTTGACTCATCAATAATAATTGAAAATATAATGTTTAATATCAGAAAATGCCTGTTATTTTGATAATTGACGCTGAGAATGATATTCAAATTTCACCAGATCAACTGCTGTTGATAACTGATGAAAATCATAAAAACGTATTCCGAATTACAGCACTGTATTTTTGATTTTAATTTCGGAATACAGATTATCAGCAAAGTCAGTGGATTTACTGACAGTACTAACCAGTTGAATTCGGAATGTAGCCTGAGAAATTTGTCAATTATGTGCATAAAAAGTGACATCCTTCAAATAATCGACTTTGAGGATATAATAAAAAATTTTGGTCAACAGAAATCCCGAAAGAAAAAATCATCTTAAATAGTAACCAAGAATCCATCATTATTGACATATTTTTATTGTTTATTTGATTACCCGTAATAAAAAAAAGATCATAAAAGAAAAATGTGAGTATAATTTGAGATCTATAATTTCCAAAAGAGCCCCAAATTCTTTTGTGCCCTAGGAACCCAGCATAGTTTAAACCTACTGCCTTGCAGTTCGATCCAATTCGAAACGATTGGCCTTGGATTACTCATGAAATGATTATTTTCAGAAAATAATTTTTTCATTTACTCAATTGTGCATTATAATATAACACCTGGAAACCACTTAGAAAATGTATGAAGGTTCATGAAAATTTGGAAGCGATTAGTATGAAGATCAAGAATAAAATCTGAGAAAAATTAGTCTACAAACGCATTTTTCGTTCAGTGTGATAATTGAATTAACCATATTCTTTCAGCAAATTCCGAATTTTTTTATACATTACAAATTACGTTTTTCTACGGCTATATCACAAGATTGCTCTTGTTTTTTGTGTTTTTTTTTATGTTCTGGTTCCCACGAAAAGGGATATCCTGTAATGTTCAGAGAACATCGTGAGAACTAGGGGAAATAAGGTAGGAATTGGTGTTTTTTAAATTTCTGAGGATAATATGCCTCGGAAAACACCTCCCTTGGCAATGTGTTCCAGAGCCTCGCTGTTCGTTAGATGAACGAGTCTTCGGAAAGAGATGTTCTGCAGGTCTTCAAAGTGACCACGAAGGGGTGCGAAGCCTCAAATCGACGGGTTAATCTCGCGAGGACTGCCAAGGGAGGAACAATTGTTGATATTTTAGAAGAGCATCGTCCATGAAAATATCTCTAAAATAGAGCCAGATTGCCAACTTTTCTACGGTGTTCCAGAGAAGTGAGTGAGTTTGTGAGCGAGGCATCACCCACGAGACGAATTGCCCTTTTTTGGACAGAATCGAACAGTTTCAGGGTATGTTTGGGTGCTGCACTCCAAATATGGAAACAGTATTTCAGGACAGGTCGGATCTGTGCCTTATAGATCATAAGCATCTGACTGGAAGTGAAATAGTTGCTGGCCTGAAACAGAAAACCAAGTTTCTGGGATGCACTTTTAGCAATTGATCTCACGTGATTTTCCCAAGAAAGGTTATTGCTGATATTAATTCCAAGTATCGAAATGGATGTCTTCAAAGGTATGGTTACTCCTGACAAGCTTATGTTGAGCACATTGAGATCGGCTTTTCTAGACAAAAAGGCATGCTTGTGTTTTGTTTGCATTGAAATCTACCAAGTTATTGGATCCCCATTCGAGAATTGTTGCCAAGTCCATATTTATGTTGTCAACATTTCTTTCCTGGAATTGGAGCCCTGGAAGAGAAGGCGGTATGGAGGGTACTATCATCCTCTAAGCTGTATACTGGGCATGAAGTTGCTTCCAACAAATCGTTGATATGAAGTAGAAATAGTGTTGGTGCTAGAATTGATCCTTGCGGAACACCAGCATTCATGATAAGAGAGTCAGATGAAACTCCGTCGACCACTACATGGAGAGACCTGTTTGAGAGAAAACTAGCTAGCAGGGAACATAGCTGGGGAGGCAAGCCATAAGATGGAAGCTTGGCGAGGAGTCCGTGGTACCAGACTCGATCGAATGCCTTGGAAATATCAAGTGCCACTGCTAAGGTTTCACCATATTTTTCAATAGATTGCTGCCATATATGTGAGACGTAATCGAGCAGGTCACCAGTTGATCTCTGTTGACAGAAGCCATATTGCCTATCGTTGATAATACCAGAATGTTCCAGGTATTTCTTGAGCTCGATGTTGATAGCTTTCTCCATGATCTTTGAAATAATAGATAGCAGTGCGATCGGTCTGTAGTTGCTAGGTAGGGTCTTTTTGCATTTTTTAGGAACTGGTTGTACCCTTGCAATTTTCCAGTTGGACGGGAATATCCCCAATTTGTAAGAGTACAGATGTTAGTTCGGGAGCACATTTCTTGAGAACAATCGGTGGGATTCCGTCGGAGACATAAGCTTTGTTGGTATTGAGACCCAATAAAATCTTCCTTATAGTACGTTGGCGAAAGGTGATATCGGGCATATGACTGTCAATTGGCGTTATGTTTGGAGGTTGTTTTCTCGATGAACCCAGAGTGGAATTTCCAGCAAATGACTGTGTTCGATACATCAATGAGGTACTTTCTTTGTCATCAATTTCATCTCCGTATCTGATATCACAATGACTTCATTGTGTTATTATTTCAGAAAAATCTGATCACCCAGGGAATGTCAAATTTGAAGCAATGACAGCTTTGTCTAATAGATGAGCATTACTTGACAGGAAGTCAGATGGCTTCAAGACGAAGAAATCGAAAATGCCGCTGTTATCTATTATAGCCGTAGAAAAATTATAGTGTATAACTTGCAGGAATGCTGCACTATCATTCCGTCCTCGTTAAACAATAATATACTAATTTATATGACAGATTCTTGATTTATAGTGTGACGAAGTGAATATGATAACGAGACCTTCTCAGACTTCACATAAAAAATGGTAAGACAATATCACTATGTCATGACACGAGCTCAACTCAATCATTATCATATCCCGAATCGATTTTCTGCTGAAGCATAAAACTGCATGTTCGTGAAAAACACATAGTAAGTATGAGAAAAAGCGATTTTTGTTTTGGTGACAGTACCAGTCACGAAGAGTTTAAAAAGAAGATGGGATATTCGACCTATATACATATACAGAGTGTTCCATAAATAATGTATGTGGGACAATCTTCAGAGGATTATTGGGCACACAAAAAAATTAAAAGTGAACATAACGCTTTTCCAACGTTCCATTTTTGAGATACATGGTAATATATTGTGTAAAAATTGTTTCTTTAGGAAAGTATTTTGAAAAAATATCCATAGTAAATTTTTTCATCAATCAATTCAATCTTAAATTTCGGGTGAAATGAATAGCCCTGTATACAGGGTGTAACATATAACTACGTTGAAATTTTCAAGTGATATTCTTGAGAAAATTTCAAGAAGAAGGTCTATATAAACTTGTACCCGAAAATGCTTCATTTCGGAGATACAGGGTGTTGAAATACAGAGAACTAATCGTTTTTTGATAAACATTTCAAAGGAAAAAGTAGTTTTTTTGAGGAAACCTAACACATACTTAATTTTGCGAAATTCTCAGCAACTTCGATTTAAAAAACGATCTCCAAAATGATCACATCTATCGTTGTTGAGGAAGTATGCTTGGAAAATATGTGAGAATAAGGTTTTTTCATGAAGAGTACCAAAAGTTTATTGTCAAAAATGTTAGGACAATATAGAATAAATAAAAACAGCGTTCGCAGCGCCCTCAACATGTTATAAATGAAAAGTGATACGAAATTATGATTTCTTGGTAAAAAAAAACGGGTTCCAAATTTCGTGAAATCCTATTTCAACACCCAGTATCTCCGGAACAAAGCATTTCTGGACACAAGTTCGTACAGGCTTTTTTATTGAACGCATATTGAACGTATGAACGTACTTATGTTACACCCTGTATAATTCTAACTCAGTACAGCTTTGCTACTTATTCTTACCGGATCCTTATCAATTGCGTCCTTGATAACCGAGTTATAATCAGCAGAAGGACCATTAAAAATGCTATTTGGCTCTTGTGACATTTTCTATTTTTATACGTCTGACCGTACTGCAATTACAAAAGTGTTTAGTTTATTTTTGGACTACCTACTTCTATTAATCCAATAGATTCATACCTACGGTGATATAATATTGATTCTGTGCAATATTTATGATATTATATACGTACCTACCTAATTCTAAACTGTTGTGAGCTACAGTGAAAACGAATCAGTTGAATCTACATACATAACTATACTTATGTTTAATTTAATTTAATTAACGGAATATAGGTAATTTGGTGTTTGGTGCAAACTGGCGTAGTATGGTCGAGGTGCCTGCAATTTTGTGAAGAAATTCTTCTGAAAGCTTTCATTTACTGAATCTAAATGCTAGAAGATAAAGCCAATACCTACTACAGCGGAAGTTAAATCCTTTAATCACACATAATTCAACAGAGTGACAGAGTGTGTACAGTGTGTCCCACTTACCATGCTCACCATGGGTATCTTTTTAACGGTGAGAGATACGAGGTCGGTCAAATGACACCAAATGTGGAGTTTGTCGAGGCCAACTATAATGTGAAAAAATATTTTGATAAAATCTATTCGTTTTTGTTTTATACGCAAAAAACAGATTTTGATCATTTTCATGTATCCTCCGTAACTTCTTTATTTATGAAAATATCCAAATAGGAATTTCACATTCTCATGGCAGTTTTTCAAAGTGATTTCGAAAAAAATATGAAATTTATACCAACTCTTCTAGAATTTGAGATATCAGCACCAACTTCAGTTTTTCAAATGTAGGTCATAGCTCACTATGACTTAGTTACAAATTACTTTTTTTTCTCTCACAGATGATGTGTCGCAGTAATAGTTTTGTGTTGGAGTTATCGTCATTTATACAAAAACAAAATATTATTTGGAAGCCGCCATCTTGAATTCATGAATTTTAACAAAAAAATCATGATCTCCGACCTCTAAAACCCCCACTCACCAATTTTGAATGGAATCGGACCAAATCTTGTCCGCCATCTTGGAGCAGCCATTTTTTTCAATTTCAACAAGAATTCCATAATGAATTGTCACCGGATTTACGAATATCTGCCAAATTTCAAGTTGATAGGACGGTCAGAAGTGAGTCAAAATTCACTTGCAACATTTGTTGAAATTTAAAAAAATGGCTGCTCCAAGATGGCGGACAAGATTTGGTCCGATCCCATTCAAAATTGGTAAGTAGGGGTTTTTGAGGTCGGAGATCATGATTTTTTTGTTAAAATTTATGAATTCAAGATGGCAGCTTCCAAGTAATTTTTGGTTTTTGTATAAATGACGATAACTCCGTTGTTATCAACACAAAACTATTACTGCGACACATCATCTGTAAGAGAAAAAAAAGTTATTTGTAACTAAGTCATAGTGAGCTATGACCTACATTTGAAAAACTGAAGTTGGTGCTGATATCTCAAATTCTAGAAGAGTTGGTATAAATTTCATATTTTTTTCGAAATCACTTTGAAAAACTGCCATGAGAATGTGAAATTCCTATTTGGATATTTTCATAAATGAAGAAGTTACGAAGGAGACATGAAAATGATCAAAATCTGTTTTTTCGTATAAAACAAAAAAGAATAGATTTCATCAAAATATTTTTTAACATTATAGTTGGCCTTGACAAACTCCACATTTGGTGTCATTTAACCGACCTCGTATCTCTCACCGTTAAAAAGTTACCCATGGTGAGCATGGTAAGTGGGACACACTGTATATACCGGGTGACACAGGAGACATGTAGCAGCCTGTAGTTTCTTTATTTGGAAAGATAAAATTTTGAAATTCACAGGGGAAATATAATCAATGGTAGCGCACTTTACGAACTTAACGACAATTTTTTTCAACCACCAGTTTGACCGGAAGTGACCCAAACTTTTTTTTTTAAATGTCACCCTGTACATTTCTTCAGTCTATCTTTTTCGCCTTGAAATTCTCTATCCAACCATGTATCACAAAGTGCCATTCATTTCTTAATTCGCTGTTGAATTGCTTTTTATTCAAAAAGAATAAGTTGGCTGTGACATGAATTCGAAGATATATCGACACTTGGTAGGCTTTGAAATTTAAAGATCATTAGTAAACCGATATTATTCAAAATGTTCTGGTATTCTGATCAATGTCTGCAGGTTGTCAATAGCTTGTTTGAGTCAAGATGAAAACCTTAAAAAATAACTCATGATATTGAGGAATCTAAGATAGGAATATATTTTTTCGAATTCAGCTACTCGTACAGAAACTATCTGTCTTTTATTTTTGCCATGTACCCATCACATGATCTTCCCATTTGGAACAATAAAACTAAAATTGTTCCTCTTATACGATGATCCACAGGGCTATCAGTCTTTTTTTTTTCATAATTATTTCACTTAGTAGGCGGTGTACATACACAAAATGTTTTATGTGTTTGACAGTTAATCGATTGCATCAATAATTTTTCTTCTTCATTTGTGTGTTGATTAAAATTGCACCCTGTACATTGTGATTTCAGGCATGGAAATCGGTGAACGCTTTGGAAATTTCCTGTGAAAATGTGTGGTACCTATACCGAAGGATGTTGAAGTTATCGAGCGAACAGAAAATAATATATTCATGCATTCTGAAGGGTGTTTGATGGAATATAAGGTGGTCATTATTCAAATTTCATATTTTTAAACTTTTATGAACATCAGAAAATCCTGATAGTGCATATCCCAATACATGAGGAAAAAAATGAAAAGCATCGAAACGTATTACATAATATAGCATATATACTGACTGTCTTATGAAAAAAATCTCGCATGCTGCCACTGTGCCATTTTTATTCGATTTGAAAAAAATAAAGTAACACTACGAATTGCTGCAAAATTCATCTCTTTATTGTCAACCTCGTCGCCAACTGAAAGATACATTTTTTTTATGTTCTGGTTCCCACGAAAAGGGATATCCTGTAATGTTCAGAGAACATCGTGAGAACCAAGGGAAATGAGGTAGGAATTGGTGTTCTTCTTGAATTTCTGAAGGTTATATGGCTCGGGGACACCTCCCTTGGCAATGTGTTCCAGAGCCTCGCTGTTCGTTGGATGAACGAGTCTTTGGAAAGAGATGTTCTGCAGGTCTTCAAAGTGACCACGAAGGGGTGCGAAGCCTCAACTCGACGGGTTAATCTCGCGGGGACTGCCAAGGGAGGAACGATTGTTGATATTCCAGAAGAGCATCGTCTATGAAAATATCTATAATATAGAGCCAGATCGCCAACTTTTCTCCGGTGTTCCAGAGAACTAAGTGAGTTTGTGAGCGAGGCATCACCCACGAGACGAATTGCACTTTTTTGGACAGAATCCAACAGTTTCAGGGTATGTTTGGGTGCTGCACTACAAATATGGAAACAGTATTCCAGGACAGGTCGGATCTGTGCCTTATAGATCATAATATAAACTTTATTTCCTTGAATATCACCCCTTGAATTTTTTCGGTGTTATTCGAGGTGTTATTTAGATACACCCTGTACAGACCTTATCTCTTCTTCACGAAATTGTGAAAATTAAGTCAAGTGAGGACACTAACTAAACCCACTTTCAGCACGAAAAGCGACTATGATGAAGTAAAAGCTATTATAGGCGTTCTGAAACAGTGCAAAAGAATGGAAAAGAAAATCCCTATTATATGGTACATACAAGCAAAAAGTATGGTGCTGGGTGGCCGAGTGATTGGTGATTTGTTACCTTCTACCAGCACAAGAACATAAGTACAAACAAGGGTGGTTCACAGAGTTCACAATGAGACTGGCCGGTTAAGGTATAGTACAATATTACAGGCAGAATAATCTAGTGCGCTGAAGCCACATCGATCGGGGTTTAGAGAGAATTCCACATAGGCGGAACTACAGTGTAAACCGAAAAGTCAGCCTCGATGTACTCAATAAATTTCTCTGAAATTTTGAATTAACTCGGCTGGAAATCCATGACAAATGTAAAAACTTCACGAACGATAAGATTTCCACAAAATTCTTGATTCATGTATACCCAAATTCAAGGAGTTCGAAATACTTACAACGCCATCTATCTACATATATCACTGTGTTGTATATATATAAAAAATGCAAAGTAAGTTACAAACAAACTCTCAGTTCCACAGATATCCAACAAGAAGTGGTGACTTGCTCAGAACAAAAAAACACAGAACAACTTTATTCGAAAAATCACCTTCATTTTCTGGTATAAGGTATTTCAACTGTCTGCCTACCGAAATTAAAACAATAACTTCACTCCACCTTTTCAAAAGAAGAGTCAAGACATTACTAGCCTCTGAGGGTTTTTATTCAACCGATGAATTCCTCAATTATAAATTTTAAAATGTTTTTATTGTTTGTGATCTTGTGTTATATATAATGTTCCCACTTTATTCGTTTCTTCAATTTATTTTTACATATTATCTACAAAAGAGAACGTTTCATATGTGTTATATATTGTATTTTGTATTGATACCTATATAAATTTTTATGACATATCCTATATCATTTTTAAGTGATCTATTTGGGATGAATAAAATATTGTATTGTATTGTATTGTATTGTATTGTATTGTATTGAACACACAACATGTTTCGCTAACACAGTAGCTTATTCGTCAGGTGATATACTGATACAATGAAGTAAACTAACGTTGGCTTGCTTAACTTTTATATATCTCACTTTCCCAACCTGAAGGATTAGTTACCTGTGGACAGGTACCTACGATAAACCTCCATTTTCGGAAATTAGGCACAATATCTACATTAAAATACGGTGCACCAGATTAACTTAAAAGGGTTGATGTCAAATACATACATTACTTACTAAGAAAACAAATTCAACAGTGGTGAACTATTGAGGTTCAGTTTATCGTTAAGTAGAATGTCAGAATTTTTGAGTTTGTTGATTTCTAATGATTCAAAATAATTGAGTTTTATACCTGTATTTTCTACGTGTAGAATTTCGGAATTATCATCAAAACTATGGTTTTCTTCTAATATATGGTTGGCGTGTGTTGAATTTGTTTTCCTTTTCAAAAAATGCATCTTATGTTCTTGAATGCGCTGATTGAACGTACGACTTGTCTGACCGATATATACGATATATATATGACGATATATATAGACAGGTCGTGCGTTCAATCAGCGCATCCAAGAACATAAAATGAATTTTTTAGAAAAGAAAACAAATTCAGATGTATCAAGCTATATCCGCTGAGGGATGCTTTAAGTTCTTATAATTACAATTTGATTGTTTGATAGTTATGTAAAAATAATAAAAATTATCGAATAATACAATATTGAAGAAGATTTAAGGATGCGACGTGCTGCTTTAAGTAGGACACACTGTATATAAGATTCAAAATTCAACTTAGGAAAATTCAGGTAGAAATGAATTATAGATGCGTTTTTTATTATTCCAGACTTTTTTTTGGATTTTCTCTCCTCGTCTCTATAACATAAAATTATGAAAACTATTTCAATATACGTGTTGTTAGGACACATCAGATGATTTGCCCCAAAATGTCACTGTTTTTGAAGAATTTTCCTATCAGAGAGCCTAAAAGAAAAATTCACTAGCTTGTCAGTGACAATTTGTATTGAAAAAAGTTGGGAGAAGATAAATAAAGGTAAGTATATAGAAAAGATATCAAATATTCACTGACCTTCTGACGTTTCGGGAACGAATCTGCTCCCGTTTTCAACATAAAAAATTGATATTTTGTATGGCAAACTCGTATTTGTCTTGACACTTATTAGTTCTCAGTGACAATTGGTGACGTTGGTAATCAAATGAGTTACAGGATGTTTTCATTAATTAATCTTGAATTCACCATTTTCAAATTTCAGTTGTGAATACCATGTTCTATTTATATCAACTGAACAGGAAGCAATGCTATTGTGTCCGTTCAGAAGAATGCAAGCAGTTTTTTTGATTTTTCTCTTCTGGTTGTTATTTTCTTTTCCAATGATTTCAATATTTCGCCACTCTGCCATATGTTGTCCATCTTCAGTAAGGATATGTTCAGCTAGTTTCGATTTGTCGATGTTTCTTTTCTTTATATTGTATTTATGTTGCTTCGTCCCTACTGAGAGACTTCTCTTGGTTTCACCTGTATGAAACTTTCCACAAACACGTCAAGGTATACTGTAAATACAATTTTTTCACGATTGTTCTTCATTTCTCGGTTTTGTTTGAGTTCGAATTGATCTCATTGTATTCTCAATTTTGAATTGTATTCACAGTATACCTTGTGTTTGTGGAAAGTTTTATACAGGTGAAACCAAGAGAGCTCTTTCAGTAAGGACGAAGGAACATAAATACAATATAAAGAAAAGACACATCGACAAATCGAAACTAGCTGAACATATCCTTACTGAAGATGGACAACATATGGCAGAGTGGAATAGATAATATTAAAATCGTTGGAAAAGAAGATATCAACCAGAAGAGGAAAATCAAGGAATCTGCTTGCATTCTTCTGAACAGAGACAAAAGCATTGCTTCCTGTTCAATTGATATAGATAGAACATATTATTCACTACTGAAATCTGAAGATAAAAATGGTGAATTCAAGTTTAATTAATGAAAACATCCTGTAACTCATTTGATTGCCAACGTCATCAATTGTCACTGAGAACTGAAAAGTGTGAGGACAAATACGAATTTGCCATACAAAAAATCCACTTTTTATGTTGAAAACGGGAGCAGACTCGTTCCCGAAACGTCCAAAGATAAGTAAAAATTTGATATTTTTTCTATATACCTCTTCTCGTAACCTTTTTCAATACGAATTGTCACTGAGAAGCTATAGTGAATTTTTCTCTTAGGCACTCTGATATAAAAATTGGTGAAACGCAGTGACATTTTGGGGCAAATCATCTGATTTGTCCTTACTACACGTAGTTTGAAATAGTATTCATAATTTTATTTTATATAGAGACGGGGAGAGAAAATCCCAAAAAAATTTGGAATAATGAATGTACCACCTCCTGGATTAACCTATACAGACAGTATGCGTTTTTTATTTAATTACTAACACTAATAAAAGCCATAGGTGCGTCCCTGGTGTATTATCTGTGAAAAAAATTCTTGATATATGTAGGTGTAGGCCTTGTTAAACGATTCTGATGATGGACAACCAATCATCGTCACCTACTCTGCTTGATACTGTTATGCGATTCACTGGGGTACGTTGAAATACGAAGATGTGGGTCTTATCATAATCAGTTGTTAATGGAAATATAAACAGACACTCATATATTGTTGACTATGTCAGGAGTTCCATGATGATGGCATTAACTACATGAAAAGCGTTTCGCACTTATCCTGATTGTTATACGTCGCTATACCTATACAGGGTGTCCCATAATTAGCCTGCCAAACTTCACCAGCAACTTCTACGACCGAAAATAGATAGAAAAGTTCGAATGAACATAGGTCTCAAAATGGCTCCTAAGGGAGCTACGGCCACCTTAAAGGGGGCTTCTGAAGATGTATTTCCTGAATATTTCCGAAACGCCGTGAGATAAAATGATGAAATTTGGTACAAGACCTAAACTTTTTATGTTTAATGCAGTGGAGATAAAATGATTTCAAAATTTGATTTATGAGTATTTAAAACAGGGTGGAGCTACTCTAAATATCACCCTAATTTTTTTGTATGCAATTTTTTCGACGATTGGGTCTCGGATTATGAATATCTGAACATTTTTACAGGAGAAAGGTACTCTTGTTCCATGTTGATCAGATGAACCATTTTCGAGTAAAATCGATTTAAAAATATCAATAAATCTCAAGAATAACGCACAATATTGCCAATATCAAATCGTAGTGGCTATGAAAAAAAAAAGGATAACAGTTAGTTTTGATAGTTGTCATATTTGTTGACACGCATGTTTTGCAGAACACACCAAGCAATTGATATTTGAATGTACTGTATTGTTACAAAATGCCACAATTCACAAATCAGGAATATGCATACATTTTTTGAATTTTGAGATTTCCGAACAGAAGAATACCTGGGCGACAAGTATTCGTTAATACTCATAGAAACTTGAGTGATCATGGCAATTTTCAACGTGTTCCTGGGTAAGGAAGACCTTTAAGAGGACATAACATGGAGAATATTCTGAATGTCATCGATAATAATCCGAACATTAGTATAAGGACTGTATCCAGAAATTTTAACGTGCCTAGGGCAACAGTATTGTGGAATGTGAGTACACAGTTTGGCAATGAAATAACAGTTGATTGATTTCAGATAGGGAGAATATTACAAATTCAAGGAATTCATCCATTTCACTACCAACGTGTGCAGGATTTATTGCCAGGCGATTTTCAGCCCAGGATTCAGTTCTGCCAATGGATTTTAGAAAATGAGAACATCATATCGAACATTCTTTGGAGCGACGAATCCATCTTCACCAGAAACGGAGTGTTCAATATGCACAACACCCATGTATGGGCAAATGATAATCCCAGAGTGGTCCGACGTTCTAATTTTCAACATCGTTTCTCTGTAAATACATGGGCAGGAATGATAGGGGATCAGTTAATTGGTCCTGTCGTCCTACCCAACCGCCTGAATGCTGATGGGTATCATAACTTTCTTCAGAATAACCTAGGCATACTTTTGGCAGATGTGCCTCTCAATGTACGGCAAAATATGTATTACCAACACGACGGGGCTCCAGCACTTTATGGACAGCGCGTTAGGGCATGGTTGAGTGAGATTTTTCCTGGAAGGTGGATAGGCCGTAATGGTCCCATTC